ATAAATGTCAAATGAGAAGAAATGAGATCATTTCAAGAAAGGATGATTGTTAATGGACCATAATAAGACCCAAAAAAGAGAAGACTGGAAAATGCATGTGCCAGCACTTGAATATTAATGTTTGCGGCCATCTAAAGTGGCAGTTAGAGCACAATTTGTACCGTTTTAGTGGAGAGAGCTATTTCACGGTCCAAATTCAGTTTCAAGCCAAGAATTCCGGCAGTACCCTTCACTTGAACACCCATAACTTCTTTGAGAGTGGAGCTTTGAAGAGAAAGCGGGCCTGTAAACAGGGTACAGCATCGTTGTGCGAAACCCATAGGGGGGGGGGGTCGTACTTGGCCGCTGGGGAGGGGGGGGTCGTAATCTCAAGGGTCACTCAGAGCCGGGCAATGCTTCGACATTTCAGTTGATAGTGGGAGTGGAGCTATGGAAGTTGAAGATGTTAAAAAATGAAAATTATTATGAGTGTATTCTTTACAGATTGAACTGCTACGTTTAACAGCCTCTTTTCATGCAAAATCCCCAAAATGGGTTCGTACTTGGCCGCGGGGGACATGGGGAGTATCGCAAAAGTAGGCTCGCTAGGCATCAAACAGTACAAAAGTGTCATTGCTAAGTTTGATGGAAGGAACGGAAAGCTGCAGAAGACCCGGATGTAAATAGGACTACAAAATAATAAAAAATTTATTAGCAATATAGCAAGAATAGCAAGAATAAATAAATAAATAAATAAATATCAGTTAATAGCATGAACTCGTAAGTACGTAGATGACTAAATAATACGTCTCAAACAGATTCGTGCGTATTGTCCTTTCCAAACCCTAAACAAACATCTGCTTGGATAAAAGCACCTCAAATTAGAATTTATACCTTTCCATCACCTCTGCGTAGGAGCGTAATGCAAACCAAATCGATCAGTGATCGAGCTCCTCTTTCACTCATTTGAAGGCACACTGAAGTTTCCGAAGGTGTATCCTCACAATGGCATAGAAAGAGTCGATTTTTCGGGTGGGTCAGAGGGTAGCGTGTCTGTGACCCATCTAAAACATCTCTTGAACAGCATGTGCAAGAAGTGCATGTCGCGTTGACATCGTACGCATCCTCGAGCCTGAAAGACGCATCGATACATGATGTCATAGCTTTGCACATTACTGCTTCTTTTGCTACTCTTAGTTTTCGACCTTTCTTTCGTTTGGTATTACTTCTAACTGGTTCATCCGAGATTTCTTCAGGACATTTAATCAAAAGGTCAAACTGAACCCTCACGGGATCCTCATTTACTCCTATTTTTGTGATGAGTGCCGAATTCTCGCTAACTTCGATAACTCTATATGGCCCATCCCATTCGCAGACCAATTTGGGGTACTTGGCGCGGCTCCTCTCGCGTGGCATCTTCATGAAAACTCTCTCGCCGCCTTTAAACAAGTATGACGCGCTCACGTTTTTCTTATCATCATAATATTTTTTCATTCTCTCTCTATACTTCTCCGTCTGCTGACACACTTCCTCGCGAATCACTCGCAAGCCACGGATGAGTTCTGTTTTATAGTCATCAAGATCAATCTGACTTAATCGAACCCTACTCTCCGGTAGTCCATTCAGCGGAATCACTGGGTCAAACCCGTACAAAAGGAAGAATGGACTTTCACCTGTCGCTGCATGAGGCGTTACATTATACGCGAAAACGGCATTCGGAAGCATTACATCCCATAGCTCAGGGAACTCTATCTTCTTCTTAAGTATTCTCTGTAAAGTCCCTATAGCTCGTTCTGCAGCGCCATTCTCCCGCGAATTATATCCTTTCGTAACTGTGTGTTCGATCCCAGAAATCTTTGTGAGTTCACTAATCAAACTCAGTACCCTGATCAGTATGCAGCTGTCTCGGCCAGCCGCCTTTTTCACACACCCATCTCTGAAATATCACTTGAGCGACCGAGGCTGCTCCCTTGTCTCTCAATGGATACGCTCCTAACCACTTGGAGAAGTGATCCACTAACACCAGAATGTATTTCATCCCACTGGCGCTAAGTCCCATCTCCAAAATGTCAGCACACACGCAGTCAAAAGGTCTACTAGCTACAAATGGCTTTAACGGTGGGGTATTTGTCGGCCGCGGGTTTGTTAGGAAGCACTCCCTGCAAACCCCCACCCATTTTGCAACATTTTCTCCATAGATTCCCAGAAGACCGATTCTTCAGTATTCGACACATTTTCTTAGCCGAAAAATGTCCCCCCAGACATCCCCTATGCGCCTCGTCAAAC